ATAAGCACGACGTGATTTTTGACATCATTAAATTCTTTTTATTTGCTTCTCATATTTATCGACTTTAACTGCACCAATTTACTTAATTACCGCAAAACTACTTTAAATCATTAATGTAGAATTGTTATTATTTAAAAATGTTTTGGAATGTTTCGTTTTTTAAAATGTACAAACATTTGTTTATTTTCTCGACGTTTGACACGTTTTGTCTATACTAAATGATTAAAAAACATTATAACTTAACATTTAAAAAAGATTATAAAATATACTAATATTTGATTTTTTTTTCTTAAATATGTAATTTAAAGTTTTTCAAATAATTATTTTTTCTTTTTAAAAAGTCAGTGAGTAATAAACTGGAAATTTTAATATTGTACGATTAAAAACTGTGCAATAGCTAATATTTTTACCAGCGATTTTATATAATATTTTTTTATTTATTTATTTTTATTTATTTTCATAAAGCGGTTGATAAGCACAATCACTCGTATTACTAAAAAACTTTAACGAACGTTTTGAATAGATTTTTAATGTTTAAAAGAAATTTTATTTCTAGTAAAATAAAATAAAATAAAATGTTAGAATTGAGCACGCTTCTTGAGCACGCTTCGTTGAGTTTCGGTAACTTTTAACAAAAAAGCGATTGTTATTATTTAAGTAATTTTTTTTTAATTACTTTTTACAAAAATTTTAATAACTGTACTTTTTTATTGAATCAAGTAGAATACGTTTTAATATTATTCCTTTTATTTTTTTTTATTTGCGCTTACAAATTTTTAAAATGTTTCCTCGAAATTACTCTTAAATACTTTAAATACGTCTAACAGTTAATAAATATTTTTAAATATATGGAATAATTTTAAAACCTAACAAACCCCCATAAAATAATTATTTAAGTTAAAAATCTAAAACTAAAAGAAAGTATTTTTGTTCAATTTTATCGACAACTTTGCTATTGCTGAATAATTTTATTGAAATGTTAGCTTAAAAAGATTTAAACGTTTTTTTTAATCTAAATTTTTTCTACTTGTAAATAATGAGCATATTTAATTTTTTTGCAATTCAAACTTTTATATCAACTGCGTGCGGTTTTGAAAATACTTTATTTAATGTTAAAATAATCGTAAATTACTTTATTAAAACTCCGCTCAAAAATATCTTTAAATATACTCAAACAAAAAATTTTTTGCTCAACGCAAATAGTCCTAGCTAAAATTCACATCGCCCAACGCTTTATCGCAAGGCCTGCATTGGTACCCTGTAAAATAATGGAAAGTTTTGTACACAAAAGGATCCTGAAACATTGCCTTAAAAAAGGGCTCTTTACAAAATCTCAACATGGATTTCTTCCAAGATGCGGCTGTACAACCAACCTACTAGATGCACAGGACATTTTAACAAAAGCACTATTTCATAATCATGCCATAGATGTGATTTACACAGAATTTGCTTAAGCTTTTGATAAAGTACCTCACCAACGTCTTCTTTTAAAACTTGATGCATACAGCATACATGGAACACTACTGGAGTGGATAACTGACTGGTTAAAAAATAGAAAAAAACAGAGAGTGGTCATCAGCAATAGCAAATCTGAATGGGTAGATGTTACTAGTGGTGCTCCACAAGTTTCAGTGTTAGGTCCACTTTTGTTTCTGATTTATATAAACGACCTTCCAGACAACATGGTACATCATATAAAGATCTACGCAGATGATTGTAAGATTTTAAGGGTAATCAAAGGAGATGATGCAATAAAACTACAACAAGACATAGATCAGGCAGTCGAATGGTCTAAAAAGTGGCTCATGTATTTCAATTTAGACAAATGTAAAGTCATGCATGTTGGTCACTCAAATAAATCAGTACGATTTTACTCAATGCTTGATATATATGATAATTGAACAGAACTTGGAACAACAATTATTGAACGTTACTTAGGTGTTCTAACATTAAACAAAGTTAAGCATCAAGTAGAAGCTGCAGCAGCTAGAGCAAACCAAGTACTTGGCAAACTAAAAAAAATATTTTCGCACAAGAGGGCAAATATTATGGAGGGTACTCTACACAACATACATTAGACCTCATCTCGAGTATGCCATCCAAGCCTGGTCTCCTCACCTAAAAAGTGATATAAAAGCACTTGAATGCATTCAACAGCGAGTAACAAAGCTGATAAGCGAGATAAAACACAAAAGCTATGAGGAAAGACTGGCCATACTCAATATTACCACTCTAGAAGAGCACCGAAAAAGGGACGACCTCATCCAACAGTATAAAATCACTAACGAAATAGAAAAAATAGACTTTGTAGTTCCTTAAAAATACGCCCAATCACTATCAATGAATTTTTGATTTATGAATAAACAAATTCCAATTTAAATCCATATATATATATATATATATATATATATATATATATATATATATATATATATATATATATAAAATAAATAATAGTAAAAAATTTGAAACAGTTATGGAATATGAGAGCTAACTCAATAATCAAAGCTGGCATCAGAGAAATTGAATGAACCTATAAAACATAGAAAGATGAATATTTAACAACTAAACAGTTGTTGAGCACATCCTAACAGGATTTGATACCAAAAAATTGGGATCTTGACTATAAGAACATTTTACAAAATAAATCTCTTAAAAAAAAAATTATTTTATACTTTAATATATTCATATCATTTTTTGCATAATACAATGCGAATTGCCACCATATAAGCAAAGCTGGTATCTCTTCCCACAAATTGGCTTGGTTTATTTCATTTAAAGTTATCTTTTACCACATCAGTGATAACTATGCATTGTAAAGCAAGATGGAACAGCAGAGCAATTAATCTTTTATTGGGTACCTTTTTAATTTCTAAAGAAAGACCGTCATCAAAAGAAATAGCTACGCTTATAAGCTGTTCCTGTCACATGCAAGAAGTCCTATTCAAAAATAAAACAAATTAGATAGGTGATAGAGGACCCCAAGCTATAGATGTTTGTTGTTAACAGACCAAGTCTGATGATGCTCTTAAGAGACTTTGTTAATTAATTTGTTTCTTAAAATGTCTAAACAACAATAGTTTAACATAAAAATTGCTACTGATAATTTTTTGGATGTCGCATATTAAATAAAAAAACTTTTCAAATAAATGAAAAATCAACTTTTGTCTTATTTTTACAGTAACTTTACTTTCACCTAATAAAATTCTTAAACAATTAATTTTTATTTAAATTATGATTAGAATACAATTATTTATATTTTAGAAAAGTTTTTTTTGTGCTCTAAAAAGTCCTACAAATCTTATCACAAAGGACTGGGGATTAGCATTTAAACAGAAGTTCACATCTCCTATCTAAACCAATGATGCATATATGGCCAGAGCAGGCTTTAAATCATGATCCTCCAGTTCTGAAGCCAGAAATTACTACACTAAGGCTCCTAATAGTCTCCGCGCATTTAATCATCATACAATCACAGTTTCAAATATTATTTTAAAAAAAGCTATAATAGCATCTATCTATTGACTTCAACTATGAAAGGGCTTAGAGTCTAAATTAGTATAACTAACAGTGACTTTTAAACAACTATTTACTAAATTTTAAACGAACTCACTGCCAACAAGGCAAGCAACCACTATTAAGTTGGGACTAAAAAAAAAAGAATAGAGTTAAAGGGCAAGGAAATAATTGACAGAAGATTTAAAAAGTTGTAAGTTGTATTAATTAAGAAAACATAAAGTTAAAAGAGAGTTCCAGAGCACAAAAGGTGTAAGGAAGAAAACTTAGTGAGTAAAAGTTTTTAGAGCATGAAGGTACATTTAAGGATTTGATTTTGCTGAATGAAATTTAAACGAGAATTTTATTGATAATGATAGATCAATTAAGCAGCAATTAATAAATGAATAATTAATAAATGGAACGTCAATAATTAATGAAAGGAATTTCAATAATATTGCAATAGTTGTTTGCAGTAAATAACTCAAGTCCAACAAAGTTTAAATCCAACAAAATTCAACTGAGTTTTGTTGGATTTAAAATTCACAAACCACTGCAAACCCCAAGCTGTTGCAGAAGAGAGATCAGATTCAAGATCAGCTGCCTGTTCTAAGCAATCAAAAAGATACTTTTTGTCAAGTCAGAAGTAAAAAGTTTAATCTTTAGCAAATAGATCCACTTTATGTATAAAGCCTTTGCTTCAACGCCTCCATCTAATTCACAATAGAATCTTTCAGTCACAACAGTCAGCTGTAGAATGAAAATATTGAAATTCATATTGATTGTCAGAGAGTAAATTATTAGAAACAAGATGACTTTTTAGACATTTATCGATTAAAGATTCAAAGACTGTGTTAATAATAGAGAGAAGACTAATAATAAGAAGATTAAGAGAAGACATTAGTTGGAGGGGTCAAAAAGTTCTCAAATTGTTCAAAGTCAAATTGTCCTCCATTGTTTTTAAAAATTGGAACCACAGATGCCATTTTCTAGTAGGTAGAAAAACAAGACTCAGTCAAGCCATCATTAAATATTTAGATAGAATTGAAAAATGATTTTAAGAAAACTTTTGTAAGACTATGACACGAATGTTGTCTGGACTAAAAGTCGTGGAAAATTTTAATTGAGAAAAAAGCTTAGCAACTTAAGCCAGAGTAATTTGGATGTCTAACAATGACTTAACCTGTTTGATTAGAATGACCATTAAATTCAAGAGTCAAATTGGAGGAAAAGTTCTTCGCAAATAGATCTGCTTTATCCTTGGCATGGTAATAAGATCAGACCTATAAATGAACGTTTGACTTATTATTGTTAATGAAACTGTTAAAGATTTTCTAAAAGTCTCTAGAAATCTGAAACAGTAAATAGTTTAAATGTTGTTATAACACAAGTGAATAATTTAAATGTTGTTTTAAAGTACAAACTTTTAAACAAGGCTTTTTTGTCATAACACTAAAAATTAATTAGTATAGCTAAAAGGAAATATCTAATTTAAAAATATCAACCTGAGCCCCTGAATAAGGAACATTGCTGCAAAATGTTTGGATATCTTTTTGACATGCCTGAAACAAGTTTGGATTCAGCTTTATATTTTCACTCTAAAAAAAAGTTACACCAGTAGCTATAAAGAATTTAAAATGAAAAAATAATTCCCCCTCCTCTACAATAAAAAAACATTCTTAAAAATACTTTAGTACTGTAGTACTTGAATAAATAAAAACAAACAAAAACAAGTAAAGAAAACAAATGCTTTTAACTAATACAAAAATGGAAAAAAAAAACAGCATAAATAAAATACAATAATGACTGCGATACGGATTTTACCAGGTTAATGAAAGCAAAGAAACTTTTTTATAGTTTTAATAATTTTTGTGCATTATTCGTATTTTCTTTTGTATATCTGTGATTTCTTAATTAAAGCCATTTTGTCATAACACCAAACTTATATTTTTATAATTATTTTAAATAATTATTTAACATGCATATATATTCTTCATTTATTTTGCATGTTTCTGTTTGTTTACAATATTATTTTCTTTCACTTATATCCTTCTAAATATATTTCATTAATCCTTGTGTCACTGTGCTATTCATTCATTAAGTCTCTCCTTTTTTGTTAGTATTTACTCTTTTACTGTTTTTTAAAATATTTACTAAACATCAAATTTTTACTTTTTATTTAAATTTACTAACATGATTATTACTTTGTTTTTTTTAAAAAATGACTCACCTAGTAATTATTTTAAACTTAACAATGATATCAAAACTACTACTTATTTTCATACATTTAAAATAAAAACCGAAGTTATTTCTAAATATCTTAGATAATCTTATTCTCTTTTGTTTATTTACTTAATTATTTTATTTTTTATGTTTGTATATAAATATTTTTATACATACATGTATTTTTTTTCTTTTAACTTAATTTTTATCTATCTTTTTTATTACTTTTTTTTTTTTAATCTATTTATTTATTCCTTTTTTTTCCCCCTTATGCAAACAAGCCGCCTGGTTTGCTTTTATCTGTTCTTGTTATTATTAATATTTATTATTAGTAATTAATCAATAATTATTATGTAAAATATTAATAATTATTGATTAATTACTTTCACGAACGGTTCTTTTGATTATTTGGTTTTTATTATTTTATTAAATTAAATTCAAAATGAAATGGTTTATTACTGAGAAATGATTAATTAGGAAAATATTTTACTAAAAATTGAATAAACCACTTTTTAGTGTGAATATTTAACTTTTTTTTTTTTTGGAGAAAAAATTTATCCAACATGAATTTTTTTTTTTCCATTAAAATTTTCAATAACTAACAAAAAGATCTTACATTGCGTTCAAATTGCTGCATTTTGTTATTTGACATTACTGACAATTTATGACAATTTATGATAATATATGACAATATATACTAATATAAACTAATTACAATAAAACTATAAAAACTATTTTTTTTTTTTTTTTTTTGATAAAAGCCACAGACCATTTAATTTGAGACTTTGAAAAATCTTAGAGAGCTGATTAGTTATAATAGCTCAGTAAAGACAAATACCTGTGTAATAAGTTCTTTTCTGATCTGCACTCTACAGTTTTCAGATACAGATGTTTGCTCTTTCACTATATTCTCTGAAAGACAAGTGACTGCTTCATACCTAAAAAAATATAAAGTTATACATTTTTTATATAAAACATAGGGTAGTGGTGCATAGGTAGAGCACTCACATTGTTAGCAAGGAACAAAAGTCAAAATTCCAACCATATTGATGTTAATATCATATTTAAGTTTATTCTTTGTGGATTGGGTTTGTTTACCAAGGTTTATTTTTTAAAGGTAAATGATTGAAAGATAGTAATTAAAAGGACCCTCAAGTGCCAAGGCAAGTTGTGTACATATTAAAAAGAATGTTCAAAAAAAGTTTAGGTCATATTTTTTTAATTAAAACAAAACAAATAAAATTGTACACAAAGAAAAATTACCTTGGTAGTTTTAGACAAAGTTTGCCTTTTCCATATTAGTCAGAATTTTAGGTCTTTAAAATACACACATCTTTTTTTACTTGTAGTAATTATCATTTGAACGCAAAAAAAATTCTTTTTAAGTTTTACATTGTCCACACCATGATTCAGTGTCAACACTCAATTAATTTAATTTTTACGCTTTAGCAATATAAAAATTCAAATTTTCATAGCTGATACCATTGTCAGCTTTTCCATTTTTTTTTTAATCCATACAGGTTTTCTTTGTCTTTTTTTAATAAAGGTTTTAATTGGTAAGGAGTTGCCGACATTTTAACAGTTTATCAAAATCCAAATGCAAAATATATCAAGTCTTATAACCTTTATATCCATATGAAAATTATTAAAGTTTATCAATTTAAACTAAATCTACAAAACTATTGATTTGCTAACTAAAAAATTAAGAATTAGTCAAATATCTTTAACAAATGGTGTTGTTTACCAAAATTAATTTAAAAAATTTTAAATTTAAGAACTAAAGAAAATAATTTAGTTATAAATAAAGATAAAACTAGGAAAAAAATTAACATTGTTTAAATAAAAATAAAAAAAGATTCAGAATATATAATAGGATGATATATTTATTATATTTAGAAGAATACCATAAATCTTAATTCTATTTGGCTCTTACACTCTATTAATAACATTCTTATAGATAGTTTTCTTACTCTAACTTATAGGAAAGTCGTTCAATTAATTTAAAAAAAGCTTTATTTAAAAACAAACAAAAAATATATAATGTAATTAAACTTATGAATATATCAAAGATTTATACAACTATTCTAACAACCATTATAAATAAGTTTCACTAGTAAAATCTAAAAAGTAAAGTTACTTATTTTTTTTAATTTTTTTTTACAAACATATTTTGACATTTAGTGAAAAATATTATGAATAAAAGTGATTTTACTGATTGTATGTGGAAAAAAAATATTTCTATGTTTCTAAAATAGCAAAAAACCACAACGGCATAATTTTTCAACTGAAACTCTTAAGTTTCTTGTGTTTTAATCAAAAATTTTCAGCCAAATCATTTTTAAACATTCTCTTTAATATGAACATAACTCGTCTTGGCACTTTGGAATCCCTATAAAAACATATGTAAAAAATTTTAAAAATAGTCTCTGCATTGAGGTGGCACCCTCAGTCATGTGGCAAAAGTATAATAAGAAAGAAACAGAGAAAACTAGGAACAGAGTTGTTAGTCCTTGACCTTAGTTTTGTCTTAAGGCTAAAAATTGAGGTCTTGGCCTTAAAAATTTTGGCTTTGACCATAAAAAAATATACATATTTTCTTATTGATTTTGTTGAATTCTGCGCATAATCTTGATCTAATTTTACAAAAAGTGGTTTTATTGTCACAGCACTTGCTACTTACAGTTGTGTTTATAATTAACCTTAACGTAAGGCAAAAATTGAAGTCTTTAGTCTAGAAAATGTTTGCGTAAGCCTTGACCTTGTAACTTTTGGCCTTGGTCTTGGCCTTGTAACATGTGGCCTTGGCCTTGCTACTTTTGGCCTTGTTAACAACTTTGGCTAGAAAAAACATAACTAAGAAAATTTATAAAAATGATTAAAATTAATAAAGTAATTTACTTTACAAATAAAAAAATAACGATAAATGGTTGTAAGGATGTTAAAAAGGTTAAGAATGGGGTTAGCATTGTTACGTCGTTAATGATTGCGCATTGTTCAATAACTGTTTTCTTTTTTTTTTTGTAATTTGTCATAATATATTTTCCTAAGAATGCACTCTTTTTCATGTTGTTTCTAATCAAATAGACCTTTGCTTATTATTCCTCAGCCAATATTGTTGTTATTATTGACTTAGTTGTTCATCACAATGAATGGCTTGTCTCTAGTACCTAGACATAGTCTTACTGACCTTGCTGACTCTTAAAATATTTTTTTTCTCAATCTCTTACTCAGATAGCAACCTTTATGCATTCTCCAAACAACCCTAATCACACATTGATTTGTGTCTTGCCTCTGACCCTAATTTGTGCTCAGTTTCTTCTTGTTTATCTTAAGGTGGTTTAAATCATGCTATGATCTTACTAACACTTATGTCAGATTCAATTTTATGTTATGTCTTACTCTTATATCTATCAGATTCACTCTACCATCACACTTAATACTAT